GGTGTTTTTTCATGTCCTCTATGCTCTAACTACGAAAATATTTGATTTACAAATAAGGAATCCTACTTCGCAGAATTTCATTTATCACGGTAGGGCCTAGAACCGATTAACCGCGATAAACGAGGGTTCACTGTAATGTATTCACATATGTACACCCCTATGCTTACACCTCCGTCTATAGTTTTGCTTCCTAGCTCGTTCTTCTGTTTTCTTTTACTTTCCTCCTGCCCCATGGTCATGCTCTCCTTACGTCCACAACTTAGTACTTCCTCTCAGCTACATTGCTGTTGCTCCAACAGCAACAGGATCTCTAGGTCTTCCTTGTTGTTGATTTTAATTCCCTAGTTGGTTCCCTGTCTATGGCGCTGTTTGCTCACTGTTCCCTTCCCTTGCCTCCTCCTCCCCAAGTCCTCCGGGGACTATCCCACTGCTTTCTCCTCGAGCTTGTTTTCCATGCCTATCTTATATTAGTAGGCAAACCAACAATAACAGAGACCAAACAAAATATTGAAAAAAAACCCACACATAATTCCAGGTCTGTCTGCTGACCTTTATGCCTATCTCCCCACTGGTCCTGGGGAGTTCCGGGAGCTGCCCCTCTGAGCCTGAAGTCTATTTGGGGGGCTCTTTAAGGGATTTGTGGCTTTGATTGGCTTCTGTCTTCCTTGCATTTTTAAAGACTGCCCTCCCCCAAATGTTCTCTACCCTTCCGTTTTGATTATAAGCTTTATCTATTGGCTCTTTACTTATGGCTGCAGTAGCTGGGAGAAACCATTCATGCCCTGGGTTAATGTTCAGTTAAGTGCAGTAATTTATAATCTCTATCGTCTTTGGACTTTCTCCCTATTTGGAAATGCATATCATCTCCACATGTGTTTTATTGCATTTCTGTAGTTTGCCTTTATTTTTATAGAACACCTCCTTCCCCTAAGCGCCATAGTGTTTGCCTGGAGAGCTCTGTTGAAAATGGGGCTTCAAACCAGTTCAAACTGGTTCTGCCATGGCTGCAGAAACAAAGCTGGAACATCACCACATTTAAATATTTGGTTCGGGAACCTACCCAGAATGGGAGAAATTGGGTCTTGATGCCCTGAAATGAAAGACGCCTAGGAGGGGTGGTGAGCTCTTGGGGGAGCCCGAACATGGCCTTGGATCAATGCCAGGTCTGTGGACCTCGACACACAATCAAAGTGGGATGATCAACCGCGTCTTCGAGCTTAGCACCTTTGTTTTTAATTCAGCCAATCAAGAGATTTGGGTGCTGTGCAACACGAGTGCTGTACCTGTTTTCCAAGAAGGAGGTTAAATTCTACCAGGGTTTGATGCATACATTTTCTCATTGCTTTTGTGTCCTGGTTCACTCACATTAAAAAAATTCAGGTCCATCCTGGTGTTGCTTCTTCAGCCATGACTGAGCTAGCCTGAACCAGCTCAAAGACCTGGTTGAGAAGGATTCTGCAAGTTCCCGAGGAGGAGTATTAGACTTGCTTAGCAACGTCTTCAATGGGCCTGGGAGCGCAGGTCGGAGCAGGCGCATCGGCTTTCTGCTGCTATGTTGGAGCACAGTTTGAAACTCGAAAGCAGATGTGCTCTTTCACCTCGTCCCCTTTGAGAAATCTGCATGTATTAATGAGGTGATAGGTCACATTTCAAGTTTTATCTTTATGTGAGACAAGCTGGTCAAAAGTAGGAGCATTGGTCAAAGGAGTGGCCCCGTACTCTTCCATAGCTGAATTAGAACTTAATTACTTTATTCCAGTTCCAATCCCTCGCCTTTTTATGTATGGAAAAATGCTGTGTCTTTTTCTCAGCTCCTCAGGGGACTTGAGGCTAGGATACTTGACACCTTCCTATGTGTGTGCGCGCAGGCTAGTTCTTTTTTGCGCTGTTTTGTGTGTGTGGTTGCTATTTCTGGCAGTGTTCTCGTTAGCACGTTTAAAACGCCAAACCAAGCCGAACTGCCCTTGAGTCAATTCTGACTCACAGTGCCAGAGGAGAGCTGCTTCTTAGGGTTCCAGGGCTGTCAATCATCAAGGGAGCAGACAATCTCAGTTAGCAGGCCAATCCTTAGCCCACATCGCTTCCAGGGCTCCTTAGCACATTTACAGCTCATGAGAAATAGGTACTAATGCTTGTTGTGCCTGGAAGGAGAGATCATAGGAGCTATGGGGATGTTGGGGGCACTGCTTCTCTAGCCCAGCCAGAACAGTTTCCTCTCCCTGCTTCAAGTTTCTGTGATCTCTGACAAGGGCCCCTGTGATGCTCCTGGGCCCCACTTCCAGTCAAGGGTGGGGATTACGGTCCCCTTTCCTAAGCCTCTAGCCTCCTTTTTGGGCCAGACTGAGATAGAAGAGTGTTACATTACTTTTCTTTTGTTCAGGAGGAAACAATAGATTTTCCGTTCACTTTCTTTAACACAAATCAGGGGGAGAATCCTTGGCATGGGCTGGAATTGCCTGGCCAAGGGGACTATGGGTGAGATTCATTCTATACTGTGTCCCCAGCCCCTTTAGTGCAGCTACAAAAGGGCTGGGAAAAGAAGCAGGTAAAAGCAGCTCAGCATTGCACACGCAGGGGCTGAAACTCCTCCGCTGTGCTCCCTCCCATTCTTGCCCCTTCAAGCACTGCAGTGCCCAGCGGCCACATTTCTCCCTCTTGGCTCTGGATAGAGTTTAAGGCAGTGGATGCAACTCCCACTGAAGTTCAGCTGCCCTGCTACTTTCTTTAGTCAATTTCAATGGCCCTTCCAGGCACCCAGTTCAAGGCAACATGGCTAGCCCTTCCCCACGGTAACTGGCTCTTGTGGAATGCATACACACAGCCTTTTCCCTTCACCATGCATTTTCCAAAAGCAAACGATAAAGCGAAGCTGCACTTACGGTGAATCTCCACAGCCCCCCAAGGTAGTCGCTCCTCTCAAAACAGGTGGGCTCCAGTCCTTCATCCAGGCAGCACTTGATGGAGGCCAGGCCACTGACTCCAGCTCCCACGACGGCAACGCGCTTGGCCATGTTCTCTGGTGCAGGGGGGAATGAAGCAACTCCTTTTATTCACCAGTGAAAGCCCCACCCCATCCTTGGCTACGCTAGCAAACCAGAAGAAAGAATTTGGAAGATTAAAGGATTTGCTCCGTTTGAATCCCCTGTAGCTGCTCTCTGGTATGTGAATGTGAGCTGAGAACCGTTCAGGCCACTGGTTTAACCCTCCTACCCTGTGTGTTCCCACCCCTCACTCGGAGCTGCTGCCAAGTGTCTGTCCACTTGTTGAGGCTACAGTTCTGGCAGAGTGGCTGAAATGAGAGCCGGGGCTGGGGTGGATGGAATGTTGCGTTCTGGACGGTGCTGCTGGGTCCAATCGCTCTTCTCTAGTCCTAAAATCAATTAGAGCAGGCGGCTAGGAGCGATCCTCTGATCTAAAAACATGCCGACACGAAGCTCATTTTAAGGTGGTGACCTCCTATGGCACAGGGCTATGCGGCAGCCACTGGTGGAGTGGAAGGCGAGACATTCATTGCCATCACAGGTGCTGTTGCCCAGCTGCCCCAGGTGATTTCTAGGTCGGACAGCCTGCCAGCAGTGCAGCTGCACTATCAGTTGCGAAAACCATCCCTCTTTTCACAAGGGGAGACTGCCTCACCCCACGGGCACCTAGCGCAGCCACCGTTGGCACAGCCGGACAGGTCGTCTGTCTTGAGTCTGTGTAAGAAGCTGACAAGCAGTGCTGCAGAATCAGTCGGCTCTGGATCTAGGCTGCCCGGATGCCAGCTCAGCTCTGACAGTTCCTACTGTGGAAACTTGGGAAAGTTAATGAACTTCTCTGTAAACTAACCCCTCTGTCAATCTGTTGCCGTCAGGTCACTTCCAACTCTTGGTGACCCCATGTGCGTCTGAGTAGAACTCCGTTTTACAAGGTTCTCAATGGCTGAGGCCCTTGGGAAGTAGATTCATAGGCCTTTCTTCTGACTCACAGCGACCTTGAAGGACGGAGTAGAACAATTCCTTTCCAGAACTGTCCGTTTGGGCTGGAGCAGACTGCTTTAGCACGCTCCCAAGCAGCTGCTGGGGGGTTTGAACTGGCCCATGTTGAAGTTAACAGTCCCACAGCGCCACCAGGTGCCGCTGCGTCTCCACCCATTGGGTTAGTGGCTGAGTGCTCAGCCACTTGGGCCACGCGGGGACTAACTGGGCAGAGAAAGCAAATCGTTGGGAGCTTCTTTTCAGTATGTTGTGAACATTGAGCAGCATGTGTGAAGTGCCTGACAATAGTGCTTAGGGCACAGTAACTGTTATAAAAAAATGTAAGCCATTGTAAATGTAAAATCGTTTTTCCAAAATTGGTTTCATATCGTATCCCTTTCCTGTCTGTCAGCCCTTGCTCTTGTAAGCCTAACCCCACGTCAGGTCAACAGCGTGCACAACACTTAACACTGTGCTGTGGGCTGGTTTTCCTAACAGACTTCTGTGGCCATTTTCTCTTCCTCAGTCTGTAACAATTTAAGGCACAGGACTCACGTCTTTTTGGACGCAGCGTGGGTTTTGGAAGTGCCCCCCAAAAGTTAGTTTCTCTGAACATTTGTCGTTACCTTGTTTTACAGGTAGATTTTGCTTCTTAACCCTGACTATATTTTTTGGATTTGTTTTAGAATTGGAAGTCAGAGAGAATAGGCTCACTGAAATATGAGAGTAGGTGAAAAAGTATTGTTCCTGGGGGTCTAGTTCATAGATGCCCTGTTTTAATCCAAATAAAACACCTTTCAGTATGTCTCTGTGATCAGCGCGTGGGTGGCCAGTGATGAGTTTTCTCAGGAATACTCTCAATCTTAGTCTCATTTCCCACTGCCGCTGAGTCGATTTCAACTCCTGGAGACCCTACAGGACAGAGCAGAACTGCCCCTTAGGTTTCCAAGACTGTAAATCCTTATTGGAGTAGAAAGTCCTATCTTTCTCCTGTGGAGCTGTGTGAGGTTCCAATGACAGATCTTGCCGTGTGGTTAGCAGCTGAGTGTGTAGCTCACTACGCCGCCAGCATTCCTTTTAATATCATTTCAAAAACCCCAAAGCCGAACTCACTACCATCAAGTATAGCGGCCCTACGAGGACAGCGTAGAAGTGCCCCCGAGAGTTCCCAAGATGCTAATTCTTCATAGGAGTAGAAAACCTCGTCTTTCTTCAGAGAAGCAGTTGGTGGTTTTGAACAGCAGACCTCTCCATTAGCAGCCTGAGTCAGGAAGCACTGTGCCACGAGAGCTCATTAATTTCATTAGGATTCCTTACAAAATGCTTTTCGTGCCATGGGAAAAAATGATTTCAAGGGCTAATATAAAATTTTTAACAAAATGCCAGTGGACAATTCCCAACCATCGAAGCTTTGCCACAAGCTTATGAGAATACTGCTTCACCCATAGCAACAGATGTTAGATGGATCAAGTGTTTGAAGGAAGGTTGGAGAGACTTCAACGGTGACTTCAGGACGGAGAAAGGAGCTCGAAGGTTGCGGTGATAGCTCTTCGGGATTCCACAGGAGTCATCCAGATGGATGTCTGGAGGAAGAACCTAGGCGCTGATTATGAAGAAGCTTTGAGAAAATGGAAAAGTGCATCGTTGAGAAAAAGGTCAGGAGAGTTTCACTGTGGATTTTTTTTCTATCCCACCTATGCACCTGCTCCTGTATTTTTTAAGGGAAACAAGGACTGTCTCGTGAGAATTTTGTTAGGAAGCTGTACCCCAGCCACCCTACAGCCCCACTCTTGCCCCATTGAACTCCTTTTTATTCCTTCAACTCAAAGAACATTTTAAAGGATCATGACTAGCCTTCTTTGAGGAGGGTAAACTGCTGTTTTGATGTGGTGTAAATCAGAGAGTGCAGAATTCTTCAGAAGAGACTAAGAGACTTGGAAACACTGCCTTCAGAAGTGTACAGACCTTGGTGGAAGACATGTAGAGAGACAACAATTTCATATCTTCCTATTTTTCATATTTTGTCTAATAAAATTTTCCACGGGTTTGTAGCAATTCTTTCTGACTGACCCCCGCCCCCTGGATAATTAGCCCAATTATAGAGCCTTTTTCTGTTGTGTTTACTGCGTGTCTCCATGTAGGTAGGGCTGCACTATTTATTGAATGAAGTGCAAAGGCCCCTTCTTTTCAGATGTCAATGCTATTTATCTTGTGGGACATAATGCATGGAGGGAGTCGGACTCAGGCCTGGGCGGGCAGTCTTACATTCTGCACCCTGCTGCTGCCTCATTTTCTAATCCTGGAATTGACGAGAGCAGAAAAGGATTGTACATAAAGCATGGCCACTTTGATGGGGAAAATGATTCTAGGGAACAAAGAGGAGGCATTGCACCTAGAAATACAGTATTTGCAGCTCCTTGCAGGAGCCTGCTGGCCCTTAAAAACTGGTTGTAATCAGAGCATGATAGGCCTGCAGGCAGCAGGACTGCAGGAAACAAAGCAGCTTCCTCTCCTGAAGGGACCGTGAACAGCTGTTTCCAATAGGTGGATGGAGAAAGAGGAAGGGGCACTCTCCTCAGCATGGCTCCCTCAAACCAGAGCAGAGGGCAGCAGGAGGAGGGAGGTGAAGTTCATCCTGCTACAGTGACCAGGGGAACTCTGTAGGGCAGGAGGGATGAGCCCCTGGTGCAGAGAGAACCAGTGTTGTGTATTTCGCTACCTAGGATGTTACACGGTCAGGTATACAGAGCTGATAGGAGAAGCAGCTGGTACAGCAAGAAAGAACATGTGACCCCCCTGGGACCTGGCTCTCCTGGGACCTGAGCGTAGAGGTCCTGGGCAGGGAAGTGAACTGCCCGGGGCTCTCTATGCAGAAGGGATTATTAGTGCTGATTCTTGCTCCAAGGGCCTGACACGGTATTGCAAACATCTGCAATATCATCGGGTAGAGAAGGGTTAGAATGGGGGCTCATGGTGGAACCGAAGAAGTTCCGGGGGAGTCTGACTACAGCTCAGTGTAAGCACTTTTCAGCATCCCACACTGTGAGATTTGGCTTTCTGTAGCTATAGATGACTCACAGTTGAAGATATTCTGAATAGGAGATGAATAGATCAGGTGGAGATCAGAATTAAAGGCCCCTTTTGGGTTTTGTTTTTTTGAAAAATCCTTTTATTAGGGGTTCATACAACTCTTATCACAATCCATACATACATCAATTGTGTAAAGCACATTTGTACATTCATTGCCCTCATCGTTCTCAAAACATTTACTCTTCACTTAAGCCCCTGGCATCAGCTCCTCAATTCCCCCTGCCTCCCCACTCCTCCCATCCCTCATGAACCCTTGACAATTTATAAATTATTATTTTGTCATACCTTACCCTATCCGACATCTCCCTTCACCCACTTTTCTGTTGTCCATCCCCCAGAGAGGAGGTCACATATAGATCTTTGTAATCGGTTCCCCCTTTCCAACCCACCCTCTCTCCACCCTCCCAGTATCGCCACTCACACCACTGGTCCTGAAGGGATCATCCATCCTGGATTCCCTGTGTTTCCAGTTCCTATCTGTACCAGTGTGCATCCTCTGGTCTAGCCAGATTTGTAAGGTAGAATTTGGATCATGATAGTGGGAGGGGGGTGGTGGGAGGAAGCATTTAGGAACTAATGGAAAGTTGTATGTTTCATCATTGCTACATTGCACCCTGACTGGCTTGTCTCCTCCCTGTGACCCTTCTGTAAGGGGATGTCCAATTGCCTACAGCTGGGCTTTGTGTCTCCACTCCGCACTCCCTCTTATTCACAATGGTGTGATCTTTTGTTCTGATGATGCTTGATACCTGATCCCTTCGACACCTTGTGATCGCACAAACTCGTGTGCTTATGTTAGATCTCTCTGGAGCTAGATTTATACCTCGGTCCTTGGCTCCGCGCGAGAAAGAATTCACGCCGAAGCCTGGTTCGTGATCGAAGTGAGTTTTATGAAAGTTAGAAGAAGTTTCAGGTTTACACGGCACCCAAGGAGCTCCTCCTGGACACGCGGCCTAGCTGGAAGCGGCTC